GGTGTCCCGGCCCCTTCCCTCCTTCCCACCTGGAGGGAGAAGTGCGAATCCTGGAGCAGCGCTTCTCAAAGTGGGTCCGCGGGCGGACTCCCACCCCCGCCGCAGCCTCTGTAGCTGTGCTGAGGCGGCAGTGTGGGTGCAGCAGGCAGAACTGGGGGGTTGGTCCTGTGACCTGGATGCGAGCGGTCCCCACCGCTTACCACACACAGGGCAGCCTGGGTGTGGACCCCAAGGCTTTCATCTGTCCCTGGGCACAGGGAGCCGCATCCAGCAGGGCTCTCGTGTGCATTAGTCAGGTCTGCCCGCGTTGCCCGCAGGGGCTGGCACACAGCACGCACCCAGTAAAAGGGAATTAGTAAGAGCGACACAGGCCCTGCCTTCTAGGGGCGTAGAGGCCCCCAAACTAGGGATTAAGCAGGCGAGGTGAAATGTAGACAGAAGAGCACAGTTCATCTGGAGAACTGCGCACCGGCTCTCACTTGGGGGTGATTGGGAAGGTAGTGCGGGCAGTGAGGTTTGCCTGGGGCTTTGAAGAAGAGATGGGCTTCCAGGGAGCTGGTAACCGGCAGCAAGATCCAGCTCCATCCCAGGCACCTTGCCAGGCCTCCCAGGTGGTTCTCACTGGGATCATTGGGGGGCTGCTCCCAGGACCTGTAGGTAGTGCAAGAAGTCATCCATGGGTGGGTTTTGAAGGCTGGACCATTGGTCCATGGTAGTTTCTGTCACTGACCGTGTTCGACACACATGGTTGTCTCCTGTCCCCCTTTCCTGGGAGAGTGGATACACTGGAATATCCACGAAAGGATCTTAGTTGAGCACGTGGTAAAGTGAATTGCCATGGATGTAGCCACGCCTCTGGGCAGCCATGTTACCCTGGCTATGGCATGTGCATAAAGCTTCAGCCATTTCAGAGTGCAGAAGTTAGGTGATTTATTTTTTAAAATATATTTTTATTGATTTCAGAGAAGAAGGGAGAGGGGGAGAGAGAGATAGAAACATCAATGATGAGCGAGACTCATTGATCAGTTGCCTCCTACACGCCCCACACTGGGGATGGAGCCTGCAACCCAGGCAGAGGCCCTGACCGGGATCGAACCGTGACCTCCTGGTCCATAGGTTGATGCTCAACCACTGAGCCATGCCAATCGGGCAGAAGTCAGATGATTTGGAGATGCTATTTGTTCTTCTGGACCAGTCTAGCTACTGGCAGACATGGAATTCCGATCTCGGTTGACAAATTATATCTTCCTTAGTTACACAACTTAAGAATTACAATTACTATTGTTAATCATTTCTGTCCTTTTGCTTCCTTAAATCTGCAGAGCCAATATCAAGTCCCTAGTATACCCCTTATGGTAAAATGTATATCATCATGGGTAATATTTATCATTTATTAAGTACTAACGTTGAGCCAGAGACTGTTCTATATGCTTTTCATATGTTTTGTCACTTATTCCTCTGATAATCCTTTGAGGTAGGCACCGTCCCTACCTCCGTTCTATAGATGAGGATACAGACAGGGACAACTAGTATTGCCTGAGGCCCCCGAGCTAGTGCACGGTAGAGCCTCGCAGCCTCATCCCATGCCCACTGCGTCCTCTGCAGTCTAGACAGCCCCCTCAGACTTACTGTACTTTAAAAAGATACGTGAATATTGAGGCTCAGAAGCACACCTCGCCCTTGTTTCCTATATGACACACAATGCATTATGCTGTTTAATTCTTTAAACAGTCACCGCCACAGCTATGATTTCATTGGTCATAGTTTATTATTACTTACAGGTTCTTTGAGCCCGAGTTTTCCAGATTCTCAGCATATGTCAGACTTTTTTCATAGTGTATAAAGTCCTTCAATTCAGTATTGCCAGTGCTGAGGAATTTATTTGAAATCACAGTAAACTGTATTTATCTTATTATCTATTGTTGAAAATGTCAGTGGTGATTGTCCTTTGTTTTTACAGAGGGGACCGGGACCACCATTGTTTGCAGTTCCTGAAAGTATTTCAAGGCACAAATTCAGGTGTCGGCGGGAGCAATGGAAGATCACAAGGAAGAAGAGATGTTAGACATTCTTCGACTGAACGTGGGTGGCTGTATTTACACCGCCAGGCGAGAGTCCCTGTGCCGATTTAAAGACTCCATGTTGGCTTCCATGTTCAGTGGTCGTTTTCCTCTCAAAACAGATGAGTCAGGTAAACATCTACAATCTGTAAGCATGATCATGCATATTCATTAAAATAGGAGTCTAGTTTAAATTCCCTTTGATTTTCCTAATTACAATGAAATAGATTAGATTAGTTTACTAATTAGTGAGCTCATTAGGATTGTATGGAGACTTATTAAATACTTGGAGAAATTAAACACCAGTTTCTAGGATCTGTGATGCTTTCACTGAAAGTTGACAGAACAGTGAGAGTGTGTGAAGGCAAATCAGTGTGTGATTTACGGGATTATATTTTGGAAGTTGTTACGTTCATGAAACTCCATGGGTAAAGGTATTGAGGCTGATTAAAAATATTAGTTTCTCTCTGTGTTTTTCAAGTTAAAAAATATGTATTTCTGGAAAAAGCAGTTGCCCTCATAGCTGACAGGGCCGTCATTGTTAGTGCAGAGTTAATGTTAAACTTGTCACCTGGTGCAGCTGGAATTTGCATGTCTTAGAGGCTCCGTGGCTCCTGGTACCCATTCTTTTTTCTTTTTTGAAATACAATATCCATTTATTTCCCCCCCAGAGAACTTTTCTTTACTCTTTAAAGACTCAGCTCCTTACATGGACTTTGGTGGAGGTCGTGGGGCAGCACCCACAGGTCTGAATCGGGGTGGGGGTGTTCGGTCCTTCCGGGCTTCACGAGAACGATTCCTGACTCCCTTTCTGTGAATGGCACAGCTCACATAGTAATGCAGCTTCACATACAGCTTGGGAAGCACATAGGCGTCGAAGACACTTGCTTCGGAGATGTCCCGAACGGCTTCGGCCTCCACTATGTTTCGAATGACAAACTTCTTAACGGCCTTGTCCTTGGGCACGCACCGGGCGCAGTTGGTGCAACGAATAGGCTGCACATGGCCTCGGCTGCTGGGGTCCAACCCCAGCAGGTCCAGGGGTCCCCAAAGGTGTGGACGGAGTCGGCGAAGAAGGAATGACACAGAGACAGCATTCAGTTGATCAGTAGCCTAGCCAGGATCTCTAGCCAGGATCTCCAGCGGAGTTCTGGTGGATCTCCAGCCAAGTTCTGGTTCGGTTCTCTCACTAGGTTCTCCAGCCAGGTTCTCCAGGTTCTCCAGCCAGGTTCAGTCGCCAGATTCTGTAGCCAGGTTCTTCAGCCAGGTTCTGTAGCCATGTTCTCTCATTAGGTTCTCCAGCCAGGTTCTGTAGCCAGGTTCTAGTCAGGTTCTCTTGCCATGTTCTATCCAGGTTCTGTAGCCAGGTTCTGTCTCTAGGTTCTTTTGCCAGGTTCTGTAGCCAGGTTCTGTCCAGGATCTTTTGCCATGTTCTGTCTCTAGGTTCTGAGTCTCTTGGTTCTGTCTTCTAAGTTCTGTCTCCTGTTGTCTTGTTACATCTGTATTTATACCATTTGATTCAATCCTATCAATCTCTATTCCAAAGGTTAGGGCGTTTATTATCTCCATTCCAGGGAGTAAAGATTATGTAGCTTAAGCATGATTGTTCGTAGTTGAAGTGATTAACTACCCGCCTGGCACTTAGTTAAGGGGTTTCATTCCCTCCCTAACTTCGGGGGGAAAATCCTTACCTGGGGAAACAACCTTTCTCGGAGAGGTGACCTTGGTTAAAACACATAGCGCCAAGAAGGTGAGCAAACATATTAAGAACAGTATGCCATATATGCCAGGTCCCTTGAAACAGCAAGGATGGACCGGCTCCTGGCACTCGGCCTTTTTTGGCATGACCGTTATTCCTTCTTTTCTTGGTCATCTTGGAAACGAGGACCCGAGAGAGCCTGGTATCCATTCTTGCTTCTTTGCTAGAAGAGAGGTCTTGTGGGGTCTTGGGCAGGGGGGGCTGTGAGTCAACCCTGCGTTGGAGAGATGGCTTTGCCAGCGGATGGCAGTGGAAGGCCTGGGAGAGTCACCGATGGCCCAGGGCTTGATGTCCATCTGGACAGAAAGGTTGCTGGTGGAAGATGATAAGCAGAGATTGAATTTTTTTTCTGTCCCCAAGTTTTATCTTCTTAATCCCTTCTTTTCTAAACTAATCAAGGGAGAAAAGGAATTACTGAGTAACTCACAGAACTGTTGTTTTTTAAAAAATTCTGCTAATTGCTCAAGAAAAGCCTTTTATCATAAAGTAGTACCAGCATAGCATTTGTTTTATTTTATTTTATTTTATTGATTTCAGAGAGGAAGGGAGAGAGAGCATCAATGATAGAAGCATCATGATGAGAATCATTGATCGGCAGCCTCCTGCATGCCCCGTAGTGGGGATTGAACCCACAACCTGGGCATGTGTGCTGATAGGGAACGAACTGTGATCTGGTTCATAGGTTGACGTTCAACTCCTGAGCCATGCCAGCTGGGCACATTTGCCTTTTAAAGTTTAGATTTTCACTGTACAAAGGGACTAAAATCTGATAAATCCAAACACATGGAAGGCTGGAGCTGGGAACCCTGGGTTTATATGTCAGCACTGCAGATCAGCACAAACACTAGACATAGTAACAGGCCCCTGCCAGCCCTCATTAGAGAGAAACTCACAGGCCTTTCTGGAAGATTGAGTCAAGTGGCCTGAAGTCAGGGGTAAGTTTCCCTTTCTGCCAGCAGTCTGAGATTCCCACAGCTTTTGCAGGGCTTCAGTGGGGTTATGGTCATTGCACCCAAGATTCCACATGGAGCTCAGAGCCTGCATTTTCCTACTTGGAGGGTGAGAGTGCAGAGGATCACCACATTTGGCTAACCCTATTTGAACACCGGATGGGAACTTTCTTGTGAGAGACACGTCTACCTCCATCTGACCTTGGTTTGACATGGAAATGTTGTCCGTGGTCATGTATCTGTGCAATGACTTTGGAACTGAATCTTTTCTAGGGGCTTGTGTTATTGACCGCGATGGACACCTGTTTAAATACCTTTTGGATTATCTCCATGGAGAAGTTCACATCCCCACAGACGAGCAAACCCGAGTCGCACTACAGGAAGAGGCGGATTACTTTGGCATCCCTTATCCGTACAGCCTGTCTGACCACTTGGCCAATGAAATGGAGACATATTCTTTAAGGTCAAATATAGAACTTAAAAAGGTCTTGGCATTTTCTTAAGTTTTAACATATATATATGTACACACACATATATATACATATCTCTATTCTGCACAAAGCGATGTGTGTTGTTTTGCATAGCCTGTGCTGTCACATAAATCTAACATGAGGCGGTTTTACTTTTTTATAATTTTGAAGACACATTCCTTAATGACTACTAGTCATTTTTTAAGGCCAAAATTCTATTTTAGGAAAGTGCCTTACATCACTCAAAGGTTTGTGGGGTTTTTATTTTTCATTGAAGAGGTAACACTTTTTGATGGCTATTTTATAGAACTCTTCTTCTCTTGAAGGTCTTTTTGAATTAAGAGCAATACTGTAGTACTGAGGGTATGGTGGTATTATTTTGTTTTCTGAAATGTTGTTTTTTAAAAAATGGTCATAATATATAAAAGATTGTATAAAATTTCTTACCCGATTTAGTGAATATAAAGTTTGTTACTAAGTTAGAACATCAGCTTGATTAATTCATGTTGAGATCAGTAAATTTTTTTAAAGATGCTTCTATTTTAAATCACATTTTAAAGATCTTTATTACTTAATTATCTGTTTTTGCTTTATTGATAAATATTATGTTTCTATTAGCACATTTGGACATCTAAGAAAGGTCTTTTACCTAGAAAATTGTTAATAGTGAAAGTGGATCTGAGTTAGTATGAAATCTTTGGTTTGGATATCGACAGCAATCTGATGCTATGGCTATTAGGAGGGCAGCATAGAGAATTTCATTTGGTTCCAGACCCCCTTCAGGATTTTGCATGATTGTGTGGGTTCTGCTACTGAAGTTCTTTGTAAATTGAGTTGTTAGATAGTCTTTTGATGCTTTTTGACACATTTGCAGAATGGGCCTAAAAAAACTTGACTAGAAGTTTGGGGTGGGTTAACGTTCATTTTTGAAGTCCCAACTCTGTAGTCTTTTGTTCCTGGTTTGTATGCAAAAAGGACATAGTATGCATACATTCATTCTGCTCACCAACACATTTATTTCAAATGTTTTAGGCATAGGGAGCACTGTTCTAGAAATTGTGTGGGACAGAAAGAAATACAACATTTGGTGCTTGCCCTTGAACAGTTTATAATGTAGTTGGGAATTCTCATAGATGTGCAAGTAAAGTTAAAACCAAATACAGGAGTTAGATAGCAACATTAAATGGAAATGCAAGACATGTCAGGGTCCTATTTTCATTCACTGAGTCAGTACACATTAGGCATCTCCTTTGTGTCAGGCAGTGTGTCAGGCACTCTTCCAGGCACTTGGCATAGAGCAGATAAAAGTGCTTGTCCTCAGGGCGCTCACAGCAATAATGATGCCGTTTCTCCCCGGGAAGGCCCTTGCCACCCTGATGGGCGAAGCCTTCCTGCTCTGTGCCCCTCAGCTCCGCGTAGGCTCACCTAGTGGCACTTACCACGTTGTGTGCTGCTGGCTTATTTAATGTCTGTCTTCTGCATCAGCCATACACTCTAGGAGGGCCAGGGCCCTGTCTTGCTCAACATTATATGTCCAGGACCTTAGACAGTGCTCAGCACATAGTAGCTACTTAATATTCAAGCGAATGAATGAACAGATGGGTAAGTGCCAAGTGCGTTCAGACAGTCTGTTTTGAGTTCATATATTCATACCTTTCAGTGCAAAGGAGCAAGTTAAAATCCGCTTAATCCATGATTGGATTTGGGTTTAAAAATAAGCATCGATCATGGGAGAGTCAGTAGGAGATAAAAGGAAGATTGAGTCAAGTGGAAAGTTTGGGGGAAGTTAAAGGGAGAAGTAAAGAGGCCTAGTTTTAGTTATTATGTGAAGATTTCAAAATTAAAAGTGATGCTGGCAGTGAGGTTAAAGGAGGAGGAATAAAATGTAATTTCCATCAGGAAAAGGATCCTCTAGATGAGAAGCTGTTGGGTTTTGGGTGATGCTTTTTTTGGGGATTTGCCCCTCACTCCAAGTTCAACCCATGCATGTTTGGTTCTTAAAGGCATAAAGACTAGGAATACCTTTTTTTTTTTTTTTGCTTATGACCAACTGAAATTGCAGCCTTACATGAAAGTAACAACAAATTAATTTTTTTAATTAAAAAATTACTTTCCAGAATTAAATTCAAAAAAAAATTTTTTTTTTCTCCAGGCTTTAACAGACTTCTGTGATTCATATGGTTTAGTTTGCAACAAACCAACAGTTTGGGTTCTCCACTATCTTAACACATCCGGTGCAAGCTGTGAGAGTAGAATTATTGGTGTATATGCCACAAAAATGGACGGAACAGATGCTATTGATAAGCAGCTGGGAGGAAGAATTCACAGTAAAAGCATTTTTAAAAGGTATGTCCATATTTAAAATGAAAACGGAACAAAAATAAGTCTTGATCTTTTCTAAGAGTTGTTACTGAATGGAATATGTGGTTGACCAGAAAAGACCATCAGCCCCTCTCAACAGGCAGAGTGAGCCTTCTGGGCTGTCGAGACAGAAGTTATAATTAAGACCGTTTCACAAAGAAGCTATGGGCTATCTATGTGGTCTAGTATTGTGGTTCTCAACTGGAAGTGGATATCAGAATTCCCTGTGAGACTTTATAAACAAAGAAAAGGAAGAAAGAAAAGCAAAGCCACGTGCCTGGGTGTCTCAACCATAGCCTGGGGGCAGAAGCCCTGGCTAAGGAGCCGGTAGGCCCACTGAGTGGCCCGGACTGGCCTGTGCATTGGTGTCCTGCCCTGAGAAATGATGAGAGACTTTCCTGGTCCCTCCCAGCCTCAAAATTCTATGACTTGAATATGTTCAATTTCTAAGGGTTATTCTCTTACTATTTTTCCTGTAATCTTATTTACACAGGTCAACCCACTTAGCAATTTTTAGAAAAAGTTCTCTGGGATATTGAATGAGGGCACATATTAGTGACAAATTAATGACCACACGAGTTTGTTTTTAGATGGTTAAACATGTCACCATTTTCTGAATTCTTTACAGGCAGAGATGTTTCTATATGAGACTTATAACTGCCTGGCAAAGGCTAGGCAAGTCCAAAGCGTGCAACTGGTCTTAACGTTTTAGAAAGCATGTAGTGGAGCATCACTGTTATTTAATAACGTTTTGGTCAAAGTTGAGTCTTTTCTAATGTCACTGGAGTTGGTGATTTTTGGAAAAGCTATTTTAAAGACTTGTTGATTTGTCTGCACGGTATATATATAATAAAATTAACAAATATTTTACTACTGTAAAAAGATCAAATGTAGATTAGCATATTCATATAGTATATAATACTCATATAGTATATAGAATTATATATGTGCTTAACGGTCACAGAACAAACCTTTTCCTTAACGAACAAGCACTTACTGTCTGTTAGCTGTACACACACACACACACACACACATTCATACCTAGGTGGTATATTTTCATTACCTTTTGCAATCTTTCTAGAGAGGCGGGCAATAATGTTCAGTACATCTGGAGCTATTACTCAGCAGCAGAACTGAAGAAAATGATGGATGCCTTTGATGCCTGGGAAGGAAAAGGTACAGTCCAGCTCTTTTATTTCATGGCAGAAAGAGGCGTGTCCCGAGTAAGACAAAGTGAGCTGAGATGCATTTCTTTTTTTGAAAAAGCATTTTTCGTGTGGGTCCAGGTATTTGTCATTTCATGGTAACATTGAGATAATTTACTTGCAAATCTTTAAACCTCATGAGTTGCTAGATACGGTTAATAGTTTATAATTCAGTAACCCAAAATATGCTTCTGTTAATTATGCTTATTTAGTTCAATTAAACAAGAGGTTACTTAGCACCTACTATGTACCTAGCATTGTCCTAGGAAGTGTATCTCTAAGTTAAGCATAAAATGTATAATAAAAAAAAAAGAGACAGGAAATGAAAATAACACTGGTAAGATGTCTAAAGAGTCCTTATCAAACAATTAAAATAATCTTTAAATACACACTTTGAAATTTGGCCATTTTTA